TGGATGGAAGATCTCTCTATCTCTCTCTTTTTCCTTCTCTCTGTATCTCTGCCTTCCAAATAAATAAAAAAATTGGTAGTAATATGAAAAATTATTATGCCAACCAAATTTTTTAAGATTTATTTTATGTATTTGAAAGACAGAGTTACAGAGAGAGGTAGAGACAGAAAGAGAATTCTTCCATCTGCTGGTTCACCACCCAGATGGCCGCAACGGCCAGAGCTGCGCCGATTGGAAGCCAGGAGCCAGGAGCTTCCTCCAGGTTTCCCATGCAGGTGCAGGGGTACAAGGACTTGGGCCATCCTCCACTGCTTTCTCAGGCCATAGCAGAGAACTGGATCGGAAGAGGAGCAGCTAGGACTAGAACTGGCAGCAATATGGGATGCCAACTCTTTAGGCCAGGGCTTTAACCCACTGCACCACAGCGTCGGCCCCCTATTTTAAGAGATTGTAAAATCTTAGACATTAAAGTAGAGTGACATTATATATTTAAAAGATTTTGTCTAAATATATGAATATTTATATTACAGTATTTCCTAACTGAACATCAAATAATTCCATCTATTATTTCAATGATTTTTCAGAAGGTACTTTCTTCAGAAAATGACACCTAAACAACCCAATTTTAATTAGGAGATTTTTTTTCTCTTATGGCAGCTAAATAAAAACTATTATCACGAAAACAATACTGAGTTAATTCAGCTGGAGTGTGACATTTATTAGATGCCTGCATTGCAAAGGGAGTAAGTGTGTGGACAAGGAAAGCCAACAAAGCTAAGTCCAAGGCATCCAGTGCTTCTTCTGAGGGACTTCTTTGCCACTAATTAGTTGCTTTATCTTGAAAAGAATGATTTGACCTCTGTTCCTGTATTTCTGCAGCTGTAAAATGCAGATTACAAAACCAACCTCTTCAGGTTGCAGGGAAAATGTAGTGAGTTAATACATGCAAGGTTTTCTATTTTAGAAGATTTATTTATTTATGGGAAAGGCAGAGCTACAGAGAGGCAGAGGCAGAGAGAGAGAGAGAAAGAGAGAGGGAGAGAGAGAGAGAGAAAGGGAGAGAGTGAAGTCTTCCATCTGCTGATTCACTCCCTAAATGGCCCCAAAGGCCAGAGCTGGGCAGATCCAAAGCCAGGAGCCAGGATCTTTTTCCGGGTCTCCCATGCAGGTGCAGAGGCCCAAGGACTTGGGCCATCTTCTACTGCTATCCCAGGGCACAGCAGAGAGCTGGATTGGAAGTGCAACAGCCAGGTCTCAAACCAGCGCCCATATGGAATGCCAACACTGCAGCCAGCAGCTTTACCTGCTACACCATAGTGTTGGCCCCTACTTGCAATGCTTTTAGAAAAGTGTAGGCAAAGGGTGAACTGACTAGAAGTATTAACCATTATTATTATTATCATTGTATTAAGTATTTAAACAAATTTCATCATAGTTTGCTTTTTAGGTTTTTATTATTTTTATTTATTTTTTAAGAGGCAGAGACATTGACAAGGGGGAGGGTAGAGAGAAAAAAAGACCCCCCTGGCTAGTTCACTCCCCAAATGCCCACAATGGCCACTACTAGACCGGCACTGAAACGCCGAACCTAGGTCTCCCATGTGGGTGGTAGGTGCCCAGTTATGTGAGCCATCATCACTTTACCACAAGTTTCACAGAGCCAGAGTCAGGACCTGGAGTTGAGAATTCAACCTAGATACTCTGAAACGAGACACAGGTGTTTAACCACTAGATAAGCACCATGTTTTTTCTTTTGTCTCATACTTATTTTTATCCTTACTTTAACATATGTACTTTGAAGTAGAAACTATGACTCATAACTATTTACACTTTTTATGAGCACTTTGTACAAAATTTTTCACAGAGTGAGCTTTTGGTTTAATATTAATTGAATAGTAAATGCATGAATGGGAAGGAAAAGCTTTCAGCTCAGGTGAGATACAGAAGCAACTTGAGTGTGTAGATATTCAGAAATCTGCTCCAGAAATGAATGTAACAGTGGGTTCTATAACAAATCCAAGAAGAGAGATTATTGGGGCAGGGGTAGAGAAGGTGGTATACTGCATTATGCTTTCCTGAAAATTGCAGCAAAACATCTAGAATCACCAAGAACAAAATGATAGGGTACTCTGCTGACCAGATGTGTGAGTAAAGTGGCAGCACTAATTTGGATGACTATTAGAGTACCGTTTTTATTAACAGTAACAACAATCGAATATTCTCTGACATTCAGAGAAGTTAAGCAGATTGTCCAGTCCGCAGAATCAGAAACTTGCCAAATAGGATTCAAGGCAAGTCTGTCTTGTTCCACTTACTGTGCCTCTTTTGAGAAATATCGAACAACAGCAAGTTGACTCCAAGTTAGGTTAAAGCATACCACTCTGCTAGTATTGAAGCTGTTTTTGTGTATTTGTTATTCCCTTTTACAATTTGGTGTTTATTTTACTTAATTATGCTTTGCAAAATGGATTAAGTGCTTTAAATCTGTTATAAATAAGTCTCTTTCTTGTACATAAACAACACTGCTTTGTTATTTCCCAGGGATTTCCCTGGGTCCAATCCAAAAACCCAAACAAAATTTCTAACACGATGTGGTTTTACTTGCTGAGCTACCCTACAACTAACTACTGATGATGGCTGCGGAGAAGAAGGGCATGGTTCAGAGTGCTTGAAAAGTCACAAACCACAAACTGAGGAAGGAGGCACAGTGCCAAACCCTTCTTATTTGCTTAGCTTTAACAAATAGTATCCTGAACCAATCTACACTTGAAACTTCAGCTTGTCACTGAATAATTCATGGTTATTTAATTTTGGCCCCTATCAAAAGATTTATAATGCATAATCTTTTAAGTACAGATTGTGAGTATGTCGCAGGGCTCACTTAAGACTTCACTGTTCTGTTTAGTAAGTCAAGTTTGCCAATGAAAAGATCCACAAAAATTGATGTCTTGTATGCAACTTGAGATTAGACAATACATGTAAATAAAGAAAGACATCTGATATTATCAAATTTCTCCCTACTATGCTTGGTATTTGAAGCTCAGAAGTGTCCAAATAGTCTAAAACCACTTTCAAAAGAACAAAAAGAAGAAAAAATCCTGGTTTTGTATCTTTAGATTCTTGACTACTAAACTTTAAGGTAGCAAAGTGTGTTCTAGAGAACAGTGTACCAATTTTCTGTCATTTGTTGATGCATTGGTATGTGAATTGATAGTATTTTAAGATGTATGAGCAAAGCAGATCTATTGGGATTTAACAACTCTGCAAACACCTGTAGCTGAATAATAGAAGTAGAATTAGCAGTTCCTAAACTTTCCCATCCGTTCCACAGTACAGACTGTCAAAGGCAGGGGCAGTGCCAATAGCAGTTAAGTTGTTCAGTCTTACAGAGGAAATCCCCTCATCTTCTGTGTACTATGTTAGTTTACAAATGATATCTGCGAAAGCCATGTCTGCATAAATGGTAAAGTTTCAGTATACAATCCTAAATTTTACATATAGTCCAGTAAGACTGATGGCTTATTGAATCAAGTGCAAACAATATAACTCAGATAGATATAATTAATCGTGCATGGAGTACATGTTCTGCTGTATGGCTGTAGATGAAATGAACGCAGAAACCTTCCTTACCCTACAGAAGTAAGCAGAATTTTATCTTTTTTTTTTCATACCTGTACTTTTTTCATGACTTCTTAAGAAAGAGAAACATCAATTTGGAGAATACTACTTCTTAAGAAAAGGATCCCAGCATTAAGAGCATGTTGGACAAAATAATAGCTTGCTTTGTAGAGAGACAGCAGGATTCTACCTCCCCTGGCAAGTACATTTGTAACATTCATTTTTAAGCCACATAGGTTTCGCTGTATTTTTTTTTAATAGTAAAGACTGGTCAAACACAACAACAAAATACATTTTCTTCCTGTAGAATATGAAGAAATGTCAAAAAAGCAAGCACTTAAGTTACAACTGCCCCCAGGCAAATGTAACTTCGTGCTGGGTTTATGCTGCTATCATAAACACCACACCACAGGAAATCACTAACACTAACCATGACCAAGCCACTCATGTCTTCCCAGAATTCAAGACATAATTGCCTTAATGAACTCATATTGCATCTGAAAACTTTCACTAAAATAAATTGTGTTTCATATAATGATCTTTGGTATGTGATCAGATTACCAGGTATGACTTTGTAGCTTTAAGGGGTGGTGAATATCAGGTAAATGATGTATTCTTTCATCTGGGCAACATCAAGGAAGTCACATTAAAATTGTCTTCATATTTTTTTTGGGTAGTGAAATCTCATGGAGCCCTGCAACATGAGATCAATAACGCAATCTCAAGTGTTAAGGATGTTGTTCTACGCGCTCAAATTTAGACACGGAAATGGACAATAGAGATGAGGAAAGATCAAGTAAGCAACTCAGTCCACATGCACACTCCAGCAGGGGAAAATTGCTTCCTAAAATAAACCTTCTAATATTTTAGCACTGTTGACTTTTGTATGTCCCTAGTGATTAAGCTTCTATCATTCACTTTTCCTGCAAGACTATTCTTGTAACCCAATATTTTCCGATGTCAGGAAGTGCCTTAAATTTCCCTTCCTCAGTTTCAACCCAGAATCCCAGTACTGCACAGGATATGAGGAAAATAATTAAGTAGTTGTAAATCATTCTAAATATTTCAAATGCATGCTATCCAAAGTCATAGGACCAAAAATTAGCCTCTTTTTAAATCATTTTTAAAACTTTTGTATTTTTCCTCTCATTACACATTATGCAACAGCAATTTAATAAAGAGATGAAATAATTTAAGACAGAAACTATGGCTGTAATGTTCTTTTAATTAATATGTTATATATTTTTAATTTTGAGGAGAATATTAATCCTTTCTTTTCCTTGATTATTTTTCTTTCTCTGCTCTGCACTACTTTAATTTTATCCAGTCATCTGGAACAAAGGACATTTCATAATTAAATGCTACATTTCAAATAGTTTTAGTAAACAACTTTCACTGATCTTTTTAATTTTATTCCCAGAGACAAAGCAGCCTGAGCAGTTTGCCTTTTGGACTTCACTCTTCTGTTTTAATTCTTTGGTTTCAATATTTGATGTCAACATATAAGTTATAAAAAACCAAACAAACACCTATCTTAGTCCACTCCATGCTGCTCCAGCAGAACATCTGAGATTGGATAATATATGACGGGCAGGAATGCGTTAGCTCACAGTTCTGGAAGCTGAGAAGCCCAAGATGGAGGGTCTGTATCCTGTGTCCTATGACAGTGAAAGGACGGAGTCTGGGTAAGATGCTAAACTCCCAGTTTATAAGGAAAAACTCACCACCAAGACAATGGCATTCATCCGTTCATAGAGGCAGATCCCTCATAGCTAAATCATCTTGCATTAGACCCCATCTCCCCACGCTGACACATCAGGGATACGTTTCCAGCATGTGCTTTTTAGGAGACATATTCAAACCATAGCAACACTCCAACTGAAAGGAATGTGCAACCTGAGCTAGCAAATTATGGAGCAGATTTAGGAGGTCACATCTCCCTCAGCGACTCAAACTACTTCACTAATGCTTCCTCCTTATCTCCCATTCGAGACTCTCTTGATTCTATCTCTTGGATAGAAAATATTTTTCTTTACATAAACTATGAAACTTCTCAATATCATATGCCAGTACTTCTGCCTCAAATTATAAATGGATAGAAGTGTGCCACAGCAAGGTTTTACGTTGTTCAAAGATGCACATGCCAACATTGGAAGAAACAATATTTGATACTTTGTGAGCTTCTCTCCCGAAGGGTATTTTGGTGTTATATTTGTGTTTATATGTTTCCCAGATCAACATCAGCATATTGATTTACTTGGCCTCTCATGGAATGCATTACTGAGAGCCTGAACAAATCCTTACAACTTGTTTAATTTCTAGCATCTTTTAAATCTTCAACCGTTAGTTATTTTGCAGGAAGGCTTTTTCCTTCCATCTTTGCCTTCAACATAATGCACAACAATATTAACAAAATAAATGGCAAAATACAATCCCAGCTAAGAAGAAAATTCTGTTCTTAAAACTCACTTGAGTTACAAAACAAGTGTGCTAAATGAGAGATGGCAATTATAGGTCAGAGAATATACTGACTGTGATGGAGGTCATGTTCTGTGAATCTTATACTGTCCACATTTTGGCAGTAGAATTGAAAGAACACGCCTTGAAAACTGAGACTGTAGGTCTATAACTAATTCATTTGGTAGGATTTGTGCATTTGTCATAAGCAGTGTGGAAGGCAATTGAAAATCTATTTCATTTCTTTTTAAAAAATCAAAAGTCATCAGGTTAATACACTGCAAAAGTCTCAGATTCCTTTTGAAACAGTCACTGAGGATTTCACTATTATATAAATATCCAGCATTGAGTTAGGCAGTGGATGGAACAGGCTTTATTTGGATGAGTAAATCATGATTTTTATGAAGTTACTGAACTTAGAGTATGGCTATTTTTCTTTTTCTAATTTTTGTGCAAAAACAAGAATAACCAGGAAAAGTAATATTAAATCTAATCCAACAGTCATTGTTTTTCAAGTTTAATAATAAGCAGACTATCTATATAAAGACATTTTAATAACATCTAAAAACACAATAAACTTTTTAAAAATTAAGAAGGAAATTTTCTTATTTTGGTTTTTATTCATAATTTGTGAAATTAAGTTAAAACAATATATTTTGTTTTTTATTAATACTAAACTGCAAAAAGTCAAGATCATTGATTTTAAAATTTCATTTTCCTTATTCATTAGTGAAAATATATTAAAAAAGGAGAATTGCTTGATAAAATTATTTTTCGTCAAAAGGAATCATGTCATGGAAAATAATAGAAATAAACAATTTGATTAGATATTTCCTATAGAACATTAAGTAAAATTTAAGGGGCATTATGATTGTAGTAAGAATTTGTGTACATTTCTATAGATCTGAATAAATTATAGAAATTTTAAGTAGTACATCAAGTTCCCATATAAATTAGGAATAAAGCAATTTTCTGGGACAAGCGTGGGTCAATAAACATTTAATATGAGATAGTCCACACTGTGCAGACCACATTTGGTCTTGCTTGCATGGTCTTTGGTGTGTTGCTTGTATGTTTGTGGTTTTCACAAAACCCTGTAAAAATGTAAAAACTGTTTTTAGTTCACAAGCCATCACAGAAACAGGGGTAGGCATTTGAGCAGTTAAGTTACAGGCTGGGATACTTGTAATCCTGTGTCAGAGCACCTGAGTTCAATTATGAGCTCTGGCTCCTAACTTCCTGCTAATGCAGACTCAGGCAGTGACGAGGTCTCAAAAAGTGGCGTTCTTGCAATCCATGTGAGAAGCAGGGTTTGAGCTCCCGGCTCCTGGCTTTGGCCACCCCATTGTCATCATCTCAAAGCAAGCAACAGCAGGAGTTTTTGCATTGTGTTTCAGAGTTGGAATGTGTCAGTTCACCTTTATCATGGTTCTTCTTATAGTGGAAGAGAAGGAATCCATTCCATTACAAAATCTCCCATAACCCTAGTAACATTCCCTCAGTTCTTCAATTGGTGACACACGATGTATTTCTAATGAACAGGGAGTCCTCACAGTGGTGAAAAATCTGGAACAGGTCTCCACATCACTGGTTCTCAAAGCGGCCTACTCACACACAGTGTGTCTCCGAACTGAAAACTATTTTTATGACAGTGTCAAGGCACTTTTAGCCTCCTGCTCCCTTGTTCTTTAAGATTTTTTTCAAAGCGTATGTGACCTGTAATACCATGACACATTGATTGCAGAAGCAGATATGATGTAGCTCTCTTCTGTTGAACTGAATATTAGAGAAATTATAAAAATAATATAGAAGACTCTGTTTTTAGAATCCTGTTTAATATATGTCTATTATTATCACTCAGGTAAATATTTCAGAAATGTACCAGTGTCCATTTTGTGAATCCCAATAAAGGTAAAATACAAAAGCTTTAATAGATTTTATGAGAGGAACATGATTGTGAGACCAGCAGTTTGAGTTTTGTTACGTATTAAACTTACCATTAGCTCCAGCATAAAGGGAGAACTGTTTTAGAGTCTGAAAGTACAGTGGGGTTGGCAGAATCTCCCCTGAGACTTCCACTCTCCAGCCATTTCTCTGTGTCTTCAGAAACCACCAGTCCGAAGTCTTCTTTGTTCCTCCCCCCACAAAGTGACCACCTGCCTGGGTCTAAGCTTCTGTCTTGGAACGTGAAGTGACTCTTCAGTCCTTCTGGTGCCCTGCCCTGTGGGAAAAGAGGTTGTCTCAGTTAAGACATGGAAGGCTGGTGAGGTCCTTCACAGTGATCTGATGTGTGGGTTGGGTATCTGGAAGACACTCAGTTATTCAGAACTTTAGGATACAAATCTTTCTGTTTCCAGAAGAGCTCAGTGATAAAGGACACACATGGACTGGATTTACATCATTACACTCAATAACTGTAAATGTAAGTCAGCTGTTAATCTTATTTATTTATTTGACAGGTAGAGTTACAGACAGTGAGAGAGAGAGAGACAAAGGTCTTCCTTCCGTTGGTTCACCCCCACCAAATGGCCGCTATGGCTGGCGCTGCGCCCATCCGAAGCCAGGAGCCAGGTGCTTCCTCCTGGTCTCCCATGCGGGTGCAGGGCCCAAGCACTTGGGCCATCCTCCACTGCACTCCCGGGCCACAGCAGAGAGCTGGACTGGAAGAGGTGCAACCGTGACAGAACCGGCGCCCCAACCAGGACTAGAACCTGGTGTTCCGGCACCCAGGCAGAGGATTAGCCTAGTGAGCCATGGTGCCGGCCTCAATGCTCATCTTCAATCAAAGTAAATTATTTCCATCATCAATTGTAGTCAATAAATGGTCCAATCAAATGGGAAACATTCTGAAATAAGCCACACTGAGTTGTAGCTTTACCCAGAGATCTAGGCTTCACCACTCATGCATTAATAAATTACTAAATTACACCAACAGGGCCACTAACAAACATGAGTTTTATATTCAAATCTTAAGCTCCATAGAAAATTTTATGTGGTCTACCTCGTAAGAGGGTAATTGAGAGAAGGGCTAATGGAGGCTTGGGGGTGTATTGTGAGACCCCGAAATAGAGTATTAAATAATCTGGAACATCTGGGTTGGGGAAATTGTGTGTTAAGTAGAAAACTCAATAAATTATTTCCTCTGCTTACTGGAATGACTCTGAAACTATTTTTGATATATTGCTGTGAATTCATCTTCCGTAAACAAGATTCTTCCTATCAAGTCTCTTAATTCTATTTCTCAAGCATCACACTAACAGTTAAAATTAATAGTCTCTCAGAGAAATTTCATTGAGAATTTAGTAATTCATGGATTGATTTAGAGTTTCAAACAATGATAGTTTTATTTGGTTGATTTAGCCAGACAATCAATTCAGGAGAAAACAAGGGCTGTCATAAATCTTTAAGTTTAGTCAACAAACTATTTGATGTTTGGCATAAAACTATCTGTAATTAACTAACTCATTGCCCAACTGTGATGCATATGGAGAAATGTCCGCCTTTTCTACTTAATACAAAATGCGATTTTGCTACATAAATCACTTTTCTGTTTTCTAAGACAGCCAGTGTATGTTCCTGGACTTTATGGAAATTATAGTATGCCTCACTATTTAAGTTGTATTCATATATTTTATCTGAAAGGGAAGAAGAGAGACCACATGCTCCCATCCGCTGGGTCGCTCCCCGTTAGTCCCCAATGGCTGAAGCCTGGAGCCAGAAACTCACTGCAGGCTTCCGCTGTGGGTATCATGCACCATCCCCTGCTCCCTCCCAGGGCCCACAATCACAGGAAGCTGGGATTGGGAGTAGAACTGCTACTCGAACTCGGGATGTGGAAATCCCACTGGGTGGCTTAACCATGAGGCCAAATGCCTACCTGAGTGTACTTCATTTTTTTCTGATCCAGGTAGATAAAATCAATTATTTGCATTTATCATCAGGAGTCCTTTGATTCTAATAATTGAATCAACTATTCTTTTATTTGCAAACTCTTGAGATTCCTATTAATTGTTTGATTGGTAACTATCTGAAAAAAAAAGAGAGTAAATGGGCCCAAATTTTAATTTATTATTAATATTCTAAACTCTACACAAGAGGTTATCTCATCATCAAATCATTACTAATTCATTACTTTTATCATTTAGATAAGGAAAGGAGAATGAGAGGGAGAGACACACACGCACAGGGTTTGTACAAGGGCCACTTGTAAAGATTGACAGATTCACTTTGTTTTTCATGACTCAATCAATGATTGCATCCAAAATCCCATTATTAACCTTAATGTAATGAAATTGATACTGAAATCATGATAAAATAATATTGATGTAGAGACTGAGATTATAAGTAAAAACAGTAAAGCAAAACAGGTTGGAAAATGTATTTTATTTTATTTGTTTAGAAGTGAGGAGACAGAAATAAAGAGATACAGACAGACAAAGAAACAGAGATTTCTAATCTATCTGTTAACTCTCCAAACGTCCCTTAACAGGTGGGGGGCTAAGCCACATCAAAGCCAGGAGCTGAGAACTCAATGCAGGTCCCTCACACAGGTGAGAGGAACAGAAGTACTTGAGTCATCGTCACTGCTTTCCAGGATGTGCATTAGCTGGAAGCTGTAATCGGAAGCACAGCCACAACTGGAACTTAGGCTTGCCATTATGGATGCAAGTGCTTTAAGCAGGGTCTCAACTGCTATACCAAATACCCTCCCCAAACAACATGCTTTAAACAAAATTATTGGTGTCAGTTCGAGTCCCAGGTGCTCCACTTCTGATCCAGTTCCCTGCTGATACACCTGGGAGGGCAGCAGAAGATGGCCCAAACACTCGGGCCCTCACCCTCCTCCCATGTGGGAGATTTGGATGAAGCTCCTAGCTTCAGCTGAGCCCAACCCTGGCTGTTGTGATCATTTGGGGAGTGGACTAGTAGATGGAAGATCTCTCTCTTTGTTTTTCTCCCCTCTGTTTCTATAACTCTGAATTCAAATAAATAAATAAATGTTTTTTAAAATGATAAAGATCCCTTGGACTTGTGAGATGGCATTGGTACATGCCACCTTGATGGGATTGTATTGGAATCCCCTGGCACGTTTCTAACTCCACCATTGGGGGCAAGTCCGATTGAGCATGTCCCAAATTGTACATTTCCTCCCTCTCGTATTCCCACTCTTATATTTAACAGGGATCACTTTTCAGTTAAAATTTAAACACCTAAGAATAATTGTGTGTTAATTACAGAGTTCAACCAATAGTACTAGAACAAAAAAATATACTAAAATGGATAAAGTATTACATTGTACATCAACAGTCAGGACAAGAGCTGATCAAGTCACTGTTTCTCATAGTGTCCATTTCACTTCAACAGGTTTCCTCTTTGGTGCTCAGTTAGTTGTCAGTTCATAATTGATCACACTGATAGGTCTAAGAGTCAAAGGGATCACACAAACAAGTCTAGTGTCTGCTAATACTAACTGATAGAATCAAAAAGGGAGAGAATGATCCAACATGGGAAGTGGGATACACAGCAGACTCATAGAATGGCAGATGTCCTAAATAGCACTCTGGACTCAGAATCAGCCCATAAGGCATTCGGATCTGGCTGAAGAGCCCATGAGAGTATTTTAGGCATGGAAAGCCAAGACACTCTGGGAAAAAAAAAAGAAGACCTAAATGAAAGATCTCTGCGAGTGAGATCCCAGTGGAAAGAACGGGGCCATCAAAGAAGGAGGTACCTTTCTCTGAAGGGAGGAGGGAACTTCCACTTTGACTAAGACCCTGTCTGAATAAGATCGAAGTCAGCGAACTCAGAAGGCTTCCATAGCCTTGGCAACTCATGACTAGAACCTAGGGAGATTACTGACACCATAAACAATGGTGTCAAATCGTTAAGTCAACAACAGGAGTCACTGTGTACTTACTCCTCATGTAGGATCTGTCCTTAATGTGTTGTCCAATGTGAAGTAATGCTATAACTAGTACTGAAACAGTATTTTACACTCTGTGTTTTGTGTGGGTGCAAACTGATGAAATATTTACTTAATATATACTAAATCGATCTTCTGTATATAAAGATAATTGAAAATGAATCTTGATGTGAATGGAATGGGAGAGGGAGCGGGAGATGGGAGGGGTCCAAGTGGGAGGGAAGTTATGGGGGGGAGAAGCCATTGTAATCCATAAACTGTACTTTGGAAATTTATATTTACTAAATAAAAGTTTTAAAAAATGATAAAGATCCCCTTAATTAATTGAGGCATTCCACATTTGTTTTAATTACCTCTTGCACATGGAAATTCTCCAAGTGAGGTTTACTTTACATGTTTCTGCACACACTCTAAAATTTTACATATGATTTTTTTCTTCTTTTCTCTGCAAGATTTGGGCTGTTTTCTGGAATGGATGTTTATTAATGCCTTAAAAGAGGTTTAGGACAGCTGATGAGAGCACTTATTAAGCATTGCTGTGGGATGACTGTTTGAGTAGCTCCAAAATTCCTCTTTGAATCCTAACTCCCAATGCAACAGAATTTGGAGGTGGGCCATCAACATCATAGATAAAAAAAGACACAGTCTCCATTTTCTGCATTCACCAGATTCTCAGTTCAGCCCTCAGGAAGGAAACTTGTTGTAGACTCTTCCCTGGAGAGATACAATACAAATAGAAATTGGGCACAGGCCTTCTGACATGGTCTCACAAGGATTAAAGACACAGACTCATCAGATTCCACTCTTGAAACTTTTTCCTTTGCATACTTGAGGCATCCAAAATGAGAGCTACATTCTATCTCTGTACAAATCTTTAGGCATTCATCTTTGATTATAGAAGCTGATGTGTGAGTATTTAGGGGAAACTGGTTTTTGAGAAATGAGACTTTCTTGCCCTTCGTACAGTGTGTGGCTCCCCACAGATATCTTGGTGCATTATTTAGGGTTTCCAGCCTCTCTCTGCAGGTGATAGTGCTTAAACATAGGCAGTGCAGATAAAGCTGGCTAGTGGAAGTCAGGTTTCACAGTCTGACCACCTCTCCAGAGGAACCGGATCATGCCATCCACAGGAAAAACCAAAGCAGCTTTTGAAGCATTTCTGTCTGTTGTTTTAAAATTGGATTTTTACTTCTTGGATGAATCTGAAAAAAAAAAAAAACCTTGATTTTCCTGCTCAGACAAAATATTTAGGGAGAGAATTCTTAGTGCATTATAAACTAAGTCATATAATGAAAAACAGGTATTTTTGAATAGCTAAGTATATATACCAAAAGTCAATACTCCTTATGTTCAGCTCAATGGATATTCTTCAAAAGTTTCCTTGCTTCCTGGGATAGATTTTCTTTAGATATCAACTGCACAATTTTACAATTAATTAGTTAGAAAATAGGTAGTGATTTAGTACTAGCTGACATCCATGAGTCATAACTTCAGCTGTCAGAGTGCTTAAATTCCTGTCAAGGGCAGGATGGTCGTACAAATGCAGTCAGTTCTGTAGAACTAACTTGAAAACTTAAGTAAAAAGTCTAGATCTCTCAACTCTCAATAATTCTATTTCATGTGCATTAAAAAGCATTGTTCTTCTAGATATTGTATGTTTCAATTTATAGTAGGCTGGTAGGTCCTCAGCCTTGCCAGAAATGGTATCAACCTCTTGAAAACTGTGTGTGTTAATCAGCGATTTCCAGAGAAACAAAACCAATAGGATGAGAACTTGGTTCACATAATCATGGAGAACTCTTAAGAAATGCAGTTAGTAAGCTGGAGACCCAGGGAAGTCAGTGGTGCTCTTCCACTCTGAGTCCACAGACCTGAGAACCAAGAGAATTGATGGTGTGAGTTCCAAACTCAAAGCTGATAGGCACGAGGCCCAAGATAAGTGTTTCAGTTTCAGTCCAAAGGAAGAAATAATGTTTAACCAAATATCTGAACATCCTGTAGCCCCGTCAAGTTTACACATACACTTAATAATTATACATCCGTGCCTTGTCAACTTGGTACCCACACATATCTCCTAAAAACATAGTCTCCTTATAAAGTTAATAACAAGTTTATATTTATGCCTGATATTACTATTTTGTGCACCACCAAGCACATACCCAGTAAAGGAGATGAAGTTATTGAGTGTAGGATATGCCACTTCCAATACTGCTTTCTATGACTGTGTCTGGGAAGGCAGGAGATGATGGCCCAAGTGCTTTTGCGCCTTCTACTTATAGGAGACCAACTGGAGTTCCAAGTTCCAGGCTTCAGCCTGGCCTGATCTGACTGCTGTCACTATTTGGTTAGTGAACCAGTGAATGGAAGATCTTTTTCTCCTTGCCTTTCCCTCTTTCTCTCTGTCACTTTGCCTGTCAAATAAATAAATAAACTTAAAAAAAAAATTGACCCCTGTATGATGGAAGCTGTCCAGATATCGGGTTGCCACCAGATATCGGGTTGATCAGCCTGGGGAATGGTGTCACTTCTGGGAATTAATGTTGGTTTCTGCTGCTAGCAGACTGAGTATTCAGCAGTGGTCGGGGCAGCTTGAATTTGGTGAATGGAAGTGAATGTTGCTGCGAATTTACAAACCTCCATCCTTGCCACGATGATCATTTTGTTCATGAGCTCATTGGGCAAAAGCAAGGGTAACTTGTGAAAGAGAATGATTGGCATCCACAGATAAGTCATCATATCTACCTTATTATTAACTCTTCTACTGTGGTTATTTTTTGATGAGCATCCACATGGGATGCAAAAATCTACTTTTTTTTTTTTTTTGTCTATCAGAGACATCTATCCACATGACTCTTTCCCATATTTCTTTGCTACCAATTTTCCAATCATGTTTTTACAAGTCCCTGGTCATCTGTACAAACCTTTGGCCACAGCTCATAAATTGTTATATAATCACAGATTTTGTCATTTTTCTTCCAAGAAATGGAAGCAACCGGATACACTACTCAGAGTTCTGTCCACTGGGAGTATTCTACCTCATCATTATCTTTCAGGGATATTCCAGAAAGGGGATAAAGTGCAGTGACTGTCCACTTTTAGATGGTGCCTGCGTATTATGCAGAACATCTGTAAGTCAGGCTCACTTATTATCTTCCACTGTCAATTGATAATAGAAACTTCTCAATGGAATCATATGTGCAGGCTCAGAGAAAAAAATGCAGTGGAGTAGTTTTGGCACCAGTAGTGGGATGCTTCTGTTAAAATGACCTAATCACATGGAAATGGTTTCAGAATTAGGTAATGCGGAAAGGCCACTATAGTGAGGTCTTATACAGAAATGAAAAGCTACTTATCTGAAACAGGGTAAGGCAATCCTTGTTTAAAAAGTGGCAAAAACTTGAGTGAATTATATTCTAGTGTTTTGGAAAAGATAGAGTTTATAAGCCATGACATTAGATGTTGTTATGATAGATGTGTGTAGTGTTGAGGAGTCATCCTGAATTCTTCCAGTTTATCATAAATTTCAAGAGAAGAGAGCTGAATGGAAGAAATAATTTTTAAACAAAAACTAATCAGAACTTGAAGAATTGAAAAATTTTCAGTCTGTTAATATTACGGAAATATTGAAAATATGCTTGGAGTAGAGCACTGAGGGCTGACTGGACTGTCATTTGATGAGAAGACTATGGAATTATATGAGCCACTTTGCAAAGCTAGTTTGAATTAGAGGGAGTGGAGATTGATAGAATGAAGGAAAGGGAATAATGGCCCTGAAGGCAATTCAGAGATCATCGGGGCTACAACTCCCCTAGCAATCTGGTTCACCCTCATTTGAGAAAGCTGGGGGCCACCACAGAGATATGTGGGTAAGGTCACCTCAGATGGCAGGGTCATCTTACTGAGCCAAAAAGCTTTGATTTCCCTGGAAAACCTAGGGATTTGTGCAGGGGGTGATGTCATCACAGTTGAATTAGAGGGGAAAGCCTAAAACTAAAAAGGAATAGTCTCAAGTCTTAGAGTCTAATGGAATTTGCCTTGCTAGGTTTGGGACCTATTACCCTCTTCTTCCTTTCAATTTCCCTCTTTTAGACTGGGACTGTCTATCCTATTGCTGTTTTACCATTGCGTTTGGAAGTATACAACTTATCAGATTTCACAGTTTCAGAGCTAGAAGAATTTTGCCCAAGGATAAATTATACCTTGAATCTCACTCATGTCTGATTTAGATGATATTCACATAAGACTTTGGACTTTAGAATTTACGTTGGAATGAGTTCATGCTTTTCAGACTCTTTAGGGTAGAATAAATTAATTTTATATGCAAAGCAGAAATAAATTTGGGGAGGTTAGGGGCAGAACAGTATGGAATGAATTGCCTACTTTTAAAATTCATATATTGAAATCCTAACAATCAATGATAGGACCAAAAGGAGGTACTTAAATTTTAATAAGTTCATAACAGTAGAGGCTGGTAGTAGTGGGTAAAGCCACAGCCTGCAATGCTGGTATCTCATATGGGCACCAGTTCAAATCCCAGCTGCTCCGCTTCTGATCCAGCTCCCTAGTAATGCAGTTGGGAAAGCAGCAGAAGATGGCCCAAATACGTGGGCCCCTGCACCCACTTGAAAGACCAGGAATAAGCTCTTGGCTCCCAGCTCTGGCCATTGCTGCCATATGGGGAGTCAACTAGTGGATGGAAGACCTCTCTCTCTCTCCCTCTCTCTCTCTTTCCCCCCCATCCCTCTCTCCCTTTTTCTTTCTGTCTCTTCCCCTATCGCTCTCTCTGTAATTCTGCCTTTCAAATGAATAAGATCTTTAAAAAAAAGTTCATAACAGTGGAACCATCATTTGTATACTCAAAAGAAACAACAAATCTTTCTCTCACACACACACACACACACACAATCATCTGAACAATGCAAAGATAATAGACCTCAAAATGAAGCATACCTTGCACACACCTTGATATTGGACTTTCAGTCTCCAAAAATGTGAGAAATAAATTCTCATTGTGGTGTTTTGTTACAGAAGCCCAGGCTGATTAGTATCCTATATACCACCCACTCCATATTTAAAGTTCTCTTCAAAATGAAAAGGCAAACCTAAATATAAAATTAAGCCTCATAAACAGTAGGCATAATAGGCCAAAAAATTAAACATATATAAATTTATCAGAGTTCTAATTGTTCAAATAACTAATTATGTATCTTAACATTAATAAATATGCAGATAAAACTGTAGTTCATGAATTTAAAATATTTGATCTCGGGGCCAGTGCTTTGGCGTAGTGGGTGGTGCCACTGCCTGCAGTATTGGCATCCCATGTGGATGCTAGTTTGAGTCCTGGCTGCTCCACTTCCAATCCAGCCTTCTGCTATGGCCTGGGAGAGCAGTAGAAGATGGCTCACGTGCTTGGGTGGGCCCCTGCACCCTTTTTTGGGAGGCCTGGAAGAAGCTTCTGGCTCCTGGCTTCAGATCTACTCAGCTCTAGCCTTTGTGACCATTTGGGGAATGAACCAGCAGATGGAAGACCAACCTCTCTCTCTCTCAACCTCTACTTCTCTGTAACTTTGCCTTTAAAATAAAAATTAATCTTAAAAAAATACTTGAATCTCCCTAACCCCATTTTGTAGACCTTTAACACATGTGTTTCGCCATCATTTCATCTTTGTCCTTCTAACTCCTGTCTATGACATCATCTTCAACTAATATAACCTCCTTAGGAAACCTCTTCTAACACACAAACTGGGATCAATTTCCCATCATATGTTTACACAACACTTTTTTTTTATTTGACAGGCAGAGTTAGACAGTGAAAGAGAGAGAGAGAAAGGTCTTCCTTCCATTGGTTCACCCCCAATATGGCTGCTGCGGCCAGCGCTGCACTGATCTGAAGCCAGGGCCAGGTGCTTCCTCCTGGTCTCCCACGAGGGTGCAGGGCCCAAGCACTTGGGCCATCCTCCACTGCCTTCCCGGGCCACAGCAGAGAGTTGGACTGGAAGAGGGGCAACCGGGACAGAACTGGCACCCCAACGGGGACTAGAACCCGGGGTTGCTGGCGCTGGGGCGCCAGCCAACACAACACTCTTAACTTCCTCTTTGTCACACTCAAACCAAATGTATTGTTCTAGGCTCTGAAGAGAAACAGAACCAATGAGAGGAGAGAGAGAGAGAAAGAGAGAGAGAGAGAGATAGTTGGTTA